GATTAATGGAATCGAATGCTATTTCGAAGTCAACGAAGTGGACGGTTGTCGATCGAAAGGATGGCGGACTTAAAGAATGCGCGCAGTATAAATACCAGGTCGTTCGTAAATTTCCAACTCGAAACCTAGCCTGGTTGGGTCCCGCCTTCCAATCGCGGCCATTGTGACAATGGCAAAGATCTTGGCGGTAACTGTGGCGTCTAAGTAGTGGTTGTGCTTGGATCACTACCATCATAAAGTCGAATTCCAAGTTGAAGTTAAAAGACACAGGTCACCAGAATGAGGGCTTTATTGTGCACATAACCCTGCCTTGCTGTCTCAGCTGGCAGTGGCCACTGGCGACGCTAAGGCTGGTGTTGACTGCGACCATTCGTGCCTGAAAGTGTCTGACTGTGTGTTATGTGTGAGGGCTGTGATGATGGCAGTGGCGCGTTCAAGTGGCCCCGAGCCGATCGCGACTATCTGGGCACGCGTGTATGCGCAGTCCTCGGTAGTCTATAATTTGCAGGATTTGCCATCAGAAAACCGAGCAACTGTAATGGAAGGCTACCTTAGGAGGTGCAAATGCCTTGAAACACAATGTCCGCTAAATCTGACGTGATGCAATCCTCTCCGTTTATCCTACTGACTTCTATGAATTGTCCTCATGTATTACGGGCCACTGAATGACGTCTACTTCATTGGTCTCTGCCCAAGTTCTCTGAGCCTTTGGCTGTTTGAGGTGTTACAGGCTGATGATGGCAATATGCTAAAAGAGCATTTCCTCCCGACCCGTATTTTTTAAAATTACGCCCGTAAAATTGAGCACAATTCCTACATATCAATCCATTAGGTGCTTTCTTATTTTAACCTTAAGTGTGTGAGCAAAATATACGTCAGCTTATCATAACCCGATTTCCCTTTCTCAACTAATGACCACATAAGGTGTTAAACCAAGGCGTTTTTATTGCTCTGCTTACAACGCTCACGAAACAAATCACTTTTGTCTTTGACGTTCCGCCACAGTATAAGCTAAATTGCCCTAATTGACTCCCCCTCTCTCCAACACAGCCGTGTCTGAACTGTTCAAGCACCTGCCTC